GTATGTATGTATGTATGTATGTATGTATGTATGTATGTATGTATGTATGTATGTATGTATGTATGTTGGTTTGTTTGTTTGTTTGTTTGTTTGTTTGTTTGTTTGTTTGTTTGTTTGTTTGTTTGTTTGTTTGTTTGTTTGTACATATGTATGTATGCATGTACTGTTTAGCGCACAAGTCCATTGGATTGACTCAATCGCATGGCCTCAGAGGCGGATGCTCCGCTTTTCGACACTACGCTACTGCCATTAACTGTCGGAAACTGAGCTTTGCCTCCGACGAGACTCGATTATACCCGACCCGACTCGAGGGCAACCGAGGCCGATGATTTGTACCAGTTTGTTGGAGAATGACTCGCTTTGTTGTCCTTCCTTCGCTTGTTCGCCTACCGGCCAATTCACTCACACATACGAGAATGCATACATACATACCAGTCACAATGTCTCTTTTCTACTGTGACACAGCTGATGGCCGATTTTATGGCGACTAATTGAGACTTGCTCACATGAGCCGACAGGTCGTTGATGAATATGCATTTTGATGCCTCGCAGAAGCACCCAGACTCCCCTCCGGGTCTTTTCTGCATACCCTCTCCTTTCTGCCCTCCCCATTCCAGGTATGACGGCATCGGTGATGGAATTTGAGGAGTAAACTGATGCCAAACTCGCCTACCCCAATCCTACTCTCATCAGGTGATTCGACTCACTTTGTGGACTTCAACTCAAACGGCCAATCAGTTGTGTCGGAGCACTTCAACCACTTCCGATAAGCATCTTGACAGAGCATAAGACGATCCAAGCCTGGATTGAAACGCCTAAAGATGCCAATTCGGAGAAGCCTTCGGGGCAGTCGGAACCAGTTTACTTTAGCAGATTGTGAAATGGTCGGAAGTCCAACGATTTCCGATGCGTTGGGCGCCAGAGAGGGCTGAAAGGAGCCGGTTGATGATGGGCCAGGACGAAGAAATGAATAGAGATGACATTTCTGTCATAAGAGGTGAGCAGCCGCTCGGCTTGACGTCGGATCTAGGCCTTAAACGGTGAGGTAGACGCTGTGATAAAGTTGGAAACTTGCACCTTTTTTACCGAAATCGAAGGAGATTACTTCGGAAACAACATCACCATTAATCTTACAGTAAAGCTGGTCAAGAGGAATCCGCCGTCGTGTTCTGATGGAACTGAACTTCGAATATCTTCACCCAACACTTTCACTCGAAATGGAAGTAAGCTCAACAGTCTTAAATTACTCG